CCAGACGAGCCCGAAATGGCCCCAAGAGGGCCGCCAAAAAGGCCACAAAAGAGCCGCCAGAGGCCCCAAGATCGTCCGAAGACGGCCCGCGACGCCCCAAGTGGGCGTGTCCTCAGGTCCTCAGGCCACCCCTCTAAGCCTCGGTCCTCGCTCTTGGGGAGTTTTTGAAGGGTTCGCAGCTCCTCGGCCCAAATCTCTGGGAGTTCCCCGCGTCTTGTCGCGTGACCGCATCGGACCCATGAGACCCCAAGACGGGCCATGAGAGGGCGCCAAGAAGCCCCCGAGACGGACCAAGAAGGCCGCGAGTCGCCGAAAGAGCGCGCCAAGAACGCCCAAGATGACTCCCGGCCCAGGAGGCCGAGGTCTCCCCAGAGAGCCTCAACACGCCCACATCATTGTTTTCCTCAGGGTGTTCAGGGATGTGGGCGTTCTCATCGCCTCGGCTTCCCAACACTCCCGACAACCCCAAGACGGCCCGAAAGGCCTCCAAGAGAAACCCAAACGGCCCAAGAGAGCACCACAACGGCTCAAGAGGCGACGAAGGAACCCAAGAGAGTCCCAAGACGGCCCCAAAAGGAGTCCCACAGAGGGAACACAAACCGAAAATCCGAGCCTTCCGCCCCAAGAGGCCCGCAGCAGGCCCCAGAGACGCCGATGAAGCCCCAATGCCAATTCAGCATTGCCTCCGCACACGGCTGCCTGCGCCGGCCCTCGGCACCGTATCTTCCGATAACATGCGGCTACAACGCCAAGGAATGGATGTCCCCATGCGACCGCCGCGCACGGACATGCAGCGGATTCCGCGCGGGAGTCTTTTTTGGGGTCGGCGGCAGTGGCGGCAGCCTTTAAATTCGCCAGACTCTGCTGGCCGCCGATACCCGCCAAGCGCAGGCGCCACGAGTCTTGCTCGCGCAGGCCAGGATCTCTTGGGCGCTCGCGCAACCCCAACTCGCTCGCGCAACCCACCTCCACGCAAACCGTGCCCGACCTCCTCCGCCCCCCCCCCCACCAGACACGACCCCTCCATACCTCCACTCCCGTCCAAGCCTTGACGGCTCAAGCCTTCGCAGGCCCAACTGGCTGTCCATCACAGACGGCACGGAATGCTAGCAGCATGCCAGATGCTCACAGAATGCCTCTGACCCAGCGCTCGGGCAGGGGAAGGGCGACTCGCGCCAGGGCGAACAAACAGTTCAGAACGCCTGACATTCTTGCTTCCTCCCGCCTCCTCAAGCTCACTTCCTCTCTCTTCCTCTGGCAACGCCTCCACCTGGCTCCCCAGCGCGCGGAAAAGCCAAGACTGGCCGAAAGCATTCTCATCGTGGTCACGGTAGCATCTGGTCGGCGACAGATTGCTGCACGCCTACAGCCACATGGACGGCTGCCCGTGCGGGGGCCCCAGCTCTGTCAGCGCTGGCCTCGGCAGTCCCCACTCAGCAGGCCCGCCTTGCTCGTCTGCCTGCTTCGCGGGCAGCGCCGGCTCTGCCGCCGTTGCCCCAGCGCGGCGCTCGGCAGCCGACTACGAGGGTGGAGCTGCCTTGGCTTTTCAGAACGCACACGTGCCCCATCTCCAGATACCTTATGAGGTGGATTAACTTCCTGTAGCCCAAGAACGCCTCGCTGACCCACAGGCCAGTGTGGTTGTGAACCGTGCTCTTCAGCTTGGCAAAGTACAGCCCTCTGGGATAGAGTTCCAAAACGGAAGCAATTGCCTCGATCAGCTGCGGGATGGAGCTAATTACTTCCTTCGTCCCCTCTGTTGGACGAGCGCCGCCCTTGACCGCGATTGCATGAGACTCGCAGCTCGAGTTGGACAAGGATACCTGCCGTTGCGGACCGGCGGTGCACCTGGCACCGCGGATAGCAAGGATGGTTTGCTGGCGCCGAACGGCAGCGCAGCGCCAGAGCTGGAACGAACCACCCTGCTCCTGGTTGTAGACCAGCCCACCCGACCACAGGCCGTCCGCACCTTCGCTCCCGCAGAAGCGCATGTGGATGCCCTGGTCGGAGCGCAGCGCAAATGCCTTGACATCCCTAATGATCCCCTCCTCGCAGACGTCGCCGTACACCCCCAACATGCACCATAAGCCCTGCGTGACTCCGCCCTCGAGCCACATCTCCACCTGCAGTGGAACGTTGGCGCCGATCTGCAAGTGTGAGGCGCGGCCCTGGTATGTGATCCACTCCTCGGACGGGGCGTGCAGGGCGTCAGGCTTGCCTCCAGCCCGCAGCTGACGGCCTGTGGGCGCGTCGCCGTGCGCGGCCGCGTCCTGCTGCAGATGGTCCGGCACCCACGGCGCGCCGCCGTCCAGCGGGCCTGGCGCCAAGCTAGACAGCGGAGCAGCGCGGCCGCCCACCAGATAGGTTGGCCGCAACCTGTCACATGAAGCGCGCTCCGCGCCTCTGTGGGGCGCCGCAAGGTAGTTCCAGGACAGCTCTGTCCCTGACACCTGATATCCTGGGAAACCTCCTGGATGTAGAAAATCTGGATGGCTAGACGATATCATGTGTAATGCTCCTCTGAAGGGCCGGGATTGCGCCAACTTGAGCCAAAATGGCTACGGAAGGCCTCTCGGAGCTCTCTTGAGGTCTCTGTGAGGCTGCCTGGAAGCCTGGAAAGCCGTCCGCAGGCTATCTTGGGGTGCTTGGGAGCGTCTTGGGCCGCTCTTGAACGTTCTGGAAGCTTCTTGGGGTCGTCTTGGGCTGTTCTTGGGCGTTTTGGGGCCCCCGGGGAGGCCGGGAGGCCTGGTACCGGGAGCGTTCTGCAGATGTCACGGGGAGGTGTGGGACCCCCGGGGGGAGGCGTACTTGTGTCTGTATATATATATATATATATATATATATATATATATATGTATACACACATATATACACACGTATATATATATATATATACATACATACATACATACATATCTATATATAATACTAGTGTGGACATGTGGATTAAAAACACGGAGTTGAGCGGATCGAAGGTTGGTGGCGCGCGCTGGGTGGCGCGACGTTGTCACCAGTTGCTGTAGGTCATTTGAAGCGTTTCCCGACGCAATGTCCCATCCGAAGGCGTCCAATGCACCGGGGCGGGGACCGAGGTGTTTGGGCCCCGCGAAAGCGCGATAATGAAGAGTGCTTTTGGGCCGTCTTGTGCCCTCTTGGACCGTCTTCTGGCCCGTTTGGGAGCCTGTTGATAGGGGGCCACATGTGAACCCTACCCCTACCCCCCACGATTTTTGACGGGGAGGGTGGGGTTCACGTCGCTCGGGAGCTCCCGAACGAAGTGAACCCCACCCTCCCCCTCAGAAATCGTGGGGGGCAGGGGTAGAGTTCGCATCTGGCCCCCTAGTTGAGCCATATTGGGGCAATCTTGGAGGCCGCTTGGGCCGTCTTGGAACGCCCGAAAACTGAAGAGGCGAGAACGCCCAAAAACGTTGGAACCATACGGAACTCCATGAGTTTGGCGTCTCGAGGCCCTCGCTGGAAAGCTCGTGGACGCCACTTCGGCCGCCTTGGCGGCCTCTTGGGCAGTCCTGGGGCCATCTTCGGCCGTCTTGGAATGTTCTTGGGCCCTCTTGGACGCGTTTTTGGGCCGTCATGGGGCGGCCTCTTGGGCAGTCCTGGGGCCATCTTCGGCCGTTTTGAAGTGCTCTTGGGCCCTCATGGGCGCCTTGTGGGCCGTCTTGGTACCTGCTTGGGCAGTCTTGGGGCACTATTGGGGGTCTCTTGAGCCATCTTGGAGCGGTCTTTGAGGCCTCCTGGACTGTCTCTGAGCATTCGAAAGCTGAAACGGCGAGGAAGCCCAACATCTGCGGAACCATAGGAAAATCGATGATCTGGGCCTCTCAGGGCCCTCGTGGGAGGCCTCTTGGAAGCCTCTTAAGCCGTCTTGCAGACCTCGTGGGCTGTCCTGAGGCCATCTTCGGCCGTCTTGGGATGTTCTTGGGCCCTCTTTCGGCGGTAGACAAACCTCCCTTTAGCAAACATCCCCTTAGTGAAAACGGCCTGGACCGAAACCGACGGACCTGGACCCGCAAAAATCACGGCTGTGACGCCCTCTCGCGAACCGAAACCGGCCAATTCCTTAATCGACGTGTCAGGGTAGGAGGTCTATCCGCCTCCGACTCTTGGGCGCGTTTTTGGGCCGTCATGGGGCCCTCTTGGGTCGTCTTGGGGCCCTTTCGGGGGCCTCTTGAGCCATCCCAGAGCGGGCGTGGAAGCCTCGCGGGCCGTCATGGAGCTTCGGAGCGCCGACTCGGCGAGGAGCTCCAGGATTGCAAAAAAGACATAGGAAAATACATGCGTTGGACCTCTGGGAACCCTCGGGGAAGCCGTCTTGGAAGCCTTTTTTTTTTTTCCGGAAGGGCTAGCCGGTCCAAACGCGAATCCTGCCAGCAGACTACCATACGCTGATGAAGCTGACCAAGTCGAACAGCGCAGTCTACGACAGCAAGCGGTGGGAATTTCGCATGTGCTGGCGTGGCCATCTCCCCATTGATTTCATCAATCCCCCATCCCGTCTCCTGTTCCACGGCCATCGCCTAGTGGCACACCGTGTAGCCACGGCCGTAGAACATTCGCAGGCCGAAGTTGGCTGGAACGCGTGCAACAGCAATGGTTGACACTATCAGGCTGTCTTAACTTAAATTTTCTGAGCTTGATGGCGAACGTTACAAGGTGCATTGAAGGCGCCGCGAGAGAAAACTATTCGGAACATGTGCGGGACAGAGAGTTGCCACATTGCACACACCGTGCAAAAGAGGCACGTCCGCCCATCGACAGCGAGAGCACGGCCCGAGTTGAGAAGCCTCGCTGACCATCAGCATACAGATTAAACAACGCATGAGAGAAAACTAAGCGTCCACACTTCGCATTTGATGCGGGCAACGGGTGGCAACGTGTGGGCGAGGTGTACGACCAGCAACGGAATCATACGAACCCCAAGCTGTGGATACCCAGCGGCAAACAGTTGACAGCACGGTGTTGCGGGGCTGGCGAACCACGGCGTGGCGCAGCTGGCGCTGTCTGCCAGGCTGACTAGCCCTACTGTGACCAGGTAGGAAAGGTAGGAGGCGCAACCTATGAAAGAAATGAGGTGAGATCGGAAAAAGGACAGGAGAGCAATCCCATGGTCGCGGAGAAGGAGCAGGAGGAGAAAGAGGATGAGCAAACGGAGCTGGAGGATGAAGAGGGAATCGACTTGGCCCGCGAGGGCTCCCTCGTCACAGACTGAAAATATTCGGGCTGCCAGCACCCTGGTCGGCAACTTGCCTACCTGCACCGTCAGAGCGGCCCACGGAAGCCCCGCTGCCAGCATGGCAGGTAGGGCGTCCTCCTGGGTCGTTGGGGTGCTTCTCGAAGAACTTTTCGAACACCCGCGAGCTGAGGTGATTCCCCAGCTCCAGAATTCTCGTCCCATCCGCCGCTGCGGTAGGCGGCCGCGCCTGATCCCCGCCGGCCTCGCCCTCGACCGCTCCGCCCGCAGGCCTCGCGGGGGCGCCGCGCTCGAGGCCGGGCGAGCGCCGCAGGCCTGCCTGGGGCTGCCCAGAGGTGGGGCGGGCCTCCGGGGGCGGCTCCGGCACGTGCGGGGAGGCCCGCGGATCCTGCGGCGGAGCGGCTGCAGGAGGCGCGCCGGAAGAAGCGGGGAGCAACGGCGAGGAGGCAGCGGCGACGCGCCTCTCCAGCAGGGCTGCCCTGGCCTCAGACGCGTGAGGCAGCGCGAGGCGCCGCTCCGCCCTGGCGGCCCCGATGCGCTGGACGAGCGCGTCCTCTGCCAGCATGAGGCTGAAGTGGCCGTCATTGCTGACCATCCGCGGATCGGGGGAGCTGTACTCCTCGCCGACGTCTCCCTCACGGTAGCGGCCGCAGCGCGGGAGGCTGGCGTGAGACCAAAGCCCCTGCGTGGAAGCTTCTGACACGAACCCCGGCGTCGTCGTGCTCGCGGCGGACTCCCACTTCCCCTCCGCGGCACTCTTCTCCGGCGCCGGCGCTGGCGGCCAGGGCGCCGTCGTGCCCTCGCTTGACGCGAACAGCCTGCGAGCCGTCGTGGCCTCGGGCCAGGGCGCGCGCTCCTGCGGCAGGGCCGTGTCGGACCAGAAGAGCGGGCCCGCGCTGCCGCAGGGCTGGGCCAGCGGCCTGTGCCCCACGGGCGCGTCGGCGCGCTGGAGGGCGGCGACGACTTTCTGAAACCTGACCCTCTGCCCCTGCCAGATGATGACTGGCATGTTCTTGTCGGGCTGGCCCCCTGTGGCGAGCACACCCATGGATGTCGTGAGAAGGTGGATCAAATTGCTCTCCAGTCCCTGTATGTGGGCAGTGAACACGCTGCACTGCTTCTGCTTCGCCGACCTGCAGAAATAGTATCCGTTGAAGATCATGCGACACCGTTCCGCCCCCTCCGCGTCGCAGCAGTTCAAGAACGCATAGCCGACGTTGCAATTGTTACGCGAATCCCAGGGCACGTACAACAAATTGTAGTCGACCGTGGTGCCCACCACGTCCTGGATCTCCCTCAGGAGCTGCTCCTGGGTGTACCTTCGGGGCAAATTGCGGAGCATCAGCGTGGTGATGGGAGAATTAATCTTTCCGATCATGGCCCCACTCGCCATGGCCACCTGAGCTCGGATAGTACCATAGGTCTGTTACTCGAGCACTGCTGCTTGAGCCACAGCGGCTTGAGCCAAAATGGCTACGGAAGCCGTCTTGGAAGCCTCTTGGGCCGTTTTGGTGGCCCTCTTCGGTGTCGTTGGGAGCTTGGAGGGTGCTGGGTTCCCCTGGGGGATTCTTCCCAGGTGCTATGGGCCCGTTGGGGAGCGATCGGGGGCCCTCTGGTGCCGTTTCGGGCTGTCCGGGGCACTCGGGGAATCGGGGGCCCACGCCAACCCGCAGAGCTCCTGACGGATTTGGTCGAGTGGATATGTATGTATACACATATATATATATATATATATATATATATATATATATAGCTGGCCTATTCCCCCCCTGCTGGAATCGATGGTTGCTTCTTTTCCAACTAAACTGACGACGTACCACGCGACCCATGAGCGACCACGACGTCCATTACTAACACTACCACTACTACTACTACTACTACTACTACTACTACTACTACTACTACTACTACTACTACTACTACTACTACTACTACTACTACTACTACTACTACTACTACTACTACTACTACTACTACTACTACTACTACTACTACTACTACTACTACTACTACTGCTACTACTACGACTACAACTACGAATGCGACTACTACGGCTACGACTACTACTACTACTACTACTACTACTGCTACTACTACTACTACTACTACTACGGCTACTTCTACTACTACTGCTACTGCTACTGCGAATGCTACGAATACTGCTACCGCTGCTAAGGATTACTACTACTACTACGACTACTACTACTACTACTACAGCTACTACTACCACTACTTCTACTTCTACTACCACTCTCACTACTACTACTACTACTACTACTACCACTACTACT